TCTTTTTAATGAATAAAAAAAAAGTAATTGTGAAGACCAAAATGTCCTTCCTACTTTCACTCTCGTTGCAGGAAATTTGAGATGGAGCTTCCGTTTTTCCCTTCGGCGTATTATATTATGTGTAGATTACCACTTGCAAGTGACTAAAATTGTTCATTTCCTTTGTCCCTTGCTTGGTTTATGATTTATTTATTTCAGTGGATAATATATTATAATATTTTCACTTTGGACACAAGTCTTAAAACACTAAAATGCTGTGAAAATTATAGTTTCCCAACATATTTTCAAACAACTCCCAGAGAATGATTAAATCTGACTAGCATCGTGAGTAGAAGTTCGTCGCATATGGGAATAACAAAATTCATTATTTCACATTCTAATTAACAAACTAAAACTCTAATGAATTTTATCCTCTAGCACCTCATCATATAGAGCAAGAGATCAAAACTAGAACAAAGGACAAGGGACATTTTAGTTTATTATAGTTGCATGAAACATGAATGCTGTCAGCTCCCTCAATAGATTAATCAATATATATATATATATATATATATCACATTCAATGAGCAAATGAGAACAAAGAATGAGTTGGAAAAATTGTGGAATCTTAACAACAATCTTTGACTAACATAATCATTAGGGCTAAACGGTGCGGTCTGGTCCAGACCAGACCATATATATGGTCTATGGTCCAGATCGAGAGACTAAAGTATAGACCACAGACTAGACTACAGACTATAACTATACGGTCCGGTCCAGACCACGTCTGTGAGGTCTGGTACGGTCTGGTCCAGATAGACCACACTCAACGAAAAATGAATAATTTGTTTAGTCAACCACACAAAAAATCGAACCAATAACCAAGAAAAATAATTGTTATTTGCCTTAAAACATTAATCCTAACATGCATGAATAATTTTGATACTCTAAATCTTAGTACATAACAAAGATACAAAGTAAAAACATCCCAGCTTGCACCATAACGTCATAAACATTAACATAATGTCATATGGAGACACTGTTATCTCTACTCTCTGGTTAAATGTGGTTGTGAATGAAGGAGGGAAGAGATTCACAAAATTAAGGTTGAGACTTGGGTGTCGTTGTGGGAGTTTGGAGAGTGGTCGAATGGGCTGTTAACACGTATTGACAAGTCAGTTGGGTCCACGGTTTGGTCCGGTAAACCACGGTCTAGACCAGAACAGACCAAGAGATCAAATCATAAAATAATACAGACCATGGACCAGACCAGACCATACTTCACGGTCTACGATCTTGACCAAACTGTGCGGTACGGTTTGGACCACGGTTTTTCTAACGGTCTGGTCTATTTTCCCAGCCCTAATAATCACGGGGTTCTCCTAAAGAAAAAGGATGACAATTATTAATATTTTTAAAAAATTAAGAACACAACAGAGAGTCACTCTGACCCAATGATTATAAAAAAAGGCAATGATATATTAATGTTTCGAGATACAAATTCAATTTGTACTATAATGTTAAAGGTACAAATTTAGTTTGTACCATATTTTTTTAATCTTTATGTTACATTACTATAGATTCAGTTTGTACTATAATGCAATTTGTACAATAACTTTAAAGGTCCACGTTTAGGTTTGTGTACTCCAAGATGACCAAGAACTTGATCTAATTGCACTAACAACTAATTTTCAACATAAAAATCTCAAATTCGAATTCATTAAATAATACCTAATTATAAAAACAAATTTATATCACTCTTATAATAACTCTATCATATCTATTTTTTAACCCAAATCACCCATACTATAAAGTACTATAAAATTCCATCTTAAAAAACAGTAAAAGACAGGCAGGAAACCCTGCTCTGGACTCTGGTTTGCGGTGGATTATTAGTTGGAAGCAGTTGCTCGTTTCTCTTGTCTTGTAGCTGGGCATATAACTATATATTCTTTGATAAATACGATAATAATAATTTAATAGTTGTCCATAATTCCATTGTAAATACCGTATTAAACTAAGCATATATAATGGGGCTCTAATTAAACACCGTTTTCTTATTTAACCAACTGATGAACCACCGATTCCTAAACTACCGATCTAGTCCTAAAATGGAGCGGAATCATGAAAGTGAGGTCAGTTCCCTTAAACACAATTATCGACAAATTATAACGATTAATTCTTACCATCCAACAATTCCAAATGAAAAATACCATGCATGTTGAGAGACACACTAATTCCTCTATAAAAACGTGTTGCTTGGTGATTTAGCTTTCTCGTTTCAAAAGTCCACCATGCATAATAGCTCTGTAATTACACTATTACAGCATCTAAACCGTGATTAGCGTGAAATTTGAGCAAGGTATCTGGAGTCACCTTTACACAAACCTTTGCCTAATAAAGTCATTTGACCGTAGACTATTACGTAAGATTAAATATATAGTTTATACATGAAAAAAAACTTTAGAACAAGTGTCACCAGTATAATAACTAGCAAAGCTTAATATAATCACGTTAAGAACTTGAAATCGACTTGAAAAAAATCAGATGCGGCTTCTCGGAGCAGATCGATATTTAGCATGGAACTATATGTATAGTTAATTGCAAAAAGATTAATTCTTAATAGATAATTAAGGATTAATTAAGTCCGATGGCCATAGCATATATAGCTACATAAGAAGACACTATACATAATATTTTTTTTTAATTAGACACTAGATTATTGTGATTATTTTATTAAACAATCGCGGCGAATTTAACCACAAATAGGCTGAAAAGCCGCATTGTTGGCAAAAACAATTGATGGGATGATATAAAAATTAAAATCTATTGTTTTGTTCATAATAGAATCAAGTGGAGATCACTGGCAGGCAAGTGCCCTTTTGATTAGAATAAGCATATAGTTGAAGGGATCTACAGTTGTCACTCTTAGTGTTTGATAAATTATTATGGATTTAGTTAATATAAACTTTAGTAAAGAACAGTTGTTTGTCGAGAAACTATGATACCTAAGAATTTGTCCCCTTTCAAATTTGTTGGAATAACATAACCACATGACTCACTTTGTTCGGATCCACCGTTTACGTCAAAATTTATCGGTGAAAACTCTCGAAAGCATGAAATCATGCATACACTCAAGTTCTGATTATGCACTTGATTGTTTAATGATCGATATATGATGAAGTAAAACAAAAGATATCATACATGCAAATACTTAACGATTTATGCCCCCAATAATTTTCCCTTCCCTCGCTACTAGATTTTCCGAGCAAATTTTTTGTTATCAAATGTAAGAAGTTCCCGATGAACAATGGATTTTGACAATCGCGAATTGACGAAATATGATATGGATTAGATGGTAGATTAGAGAAGAGATAAAATAAATGTAGATATGAGAATGGAATTGAGAAGAGCTGAAGAGGAATTAGGAAATAATTGAGTACGGGACGAGCTACAGGAAGAAGAGATTCAGAAAGGGCGTCGAAGATAACTGGAATATCATTGTTATTTTGACTTTTGAATGGTTAAATTATCCATATAGAATACGACCCAACTCATAACTTAACACAAACTAATCCCACCTAATGCGCCGCTAGTCGCCGCCGCAAGAACGTCACCGACAACCACAAAAACTGTCGGTAGTGGTTAAGAACTTGGAGGGCAAATTGATGATATGGTGGCCGTTTGGTTAGTTGAGAAGTCGGCTTCCTTTCACTCATGGTAAAGGCCGAGAAAAGGGATTAGAAGAATCAAGAAAAAAAATTAAGGGAAAGGACGCTATTTTTTTTTTATTCAATTAACCTTTCTCATTTCTCAACTGCCGCCAAGATGGTGAATAATATAATTCCCTCTTATAACTCCACTTAGCATTTTTCTATTCATGAATTTGATTCACTCGAGAGAAGGTTTAGGTTGCTAAATATTGCTCTATCGTTATAAAAAACAATTTGTTTGGTGGTCGTTGAATTAAATATAATTGGGCAGTCGTGTGATGTTTGTCGTCTTAATTTCTTCCACCCTTCTTCCCAAATTCGCAATTGGCTTCTTTGTAATTATTGAGTGAGTCATATGGATGATTCTTGATTGATTACGTTGATCATATATATATTTTAATTCATGTAACATATTCATCATGGTTTATTTTGTATTGTGAATGCATAACTTACTTTGATTGAATGATTTCATATTTAGAAGATTAATAATGAGTCAATATGTGCTCGATCGGACGCTCAACTAATACGTCTAAGCATTTAAGCATGCAATCAATCAGTAAAATGTATAAGGATGATAAAGTCATGGACATGACTTAAAGATTTCATATATGTATCGACAAATTTAATTGACGAAGAGTAACTGTTGGGGGTGTTACTAAGATACTTTGCGCACAAACTAAGTAATATCGCGCCCAATCGACAGCGTATGACGCTCGAAACCCGCTACGAGTATATAAAGGTATGAAACCCTCCAAGGGAGGGGGACTTCTCTCTCCTCACTTTCTACTTTCCACTATCTCTCTACACCTTATCTCTCTACCTTATTCTCTCAACTCTCTCCTGAAACTTAAACTAACTTGATAGTCGAAGCTTAATCCTGGGGCATCCCCGGCTCTTTCACAGGTTCCTTCCCTCCCGATGAGATTAGACGAACGAATCATGAGTCAACCCCACACCACCAAATATCATTGTTCATACCGGAGCTAGATGGTACAAACCGTAACCTTATAAACAAAACCCTAATTGGTATTCTGTCATAAATTGTCCCTCCCTTTTATCCTTTCCCCGAATAACTTCTATGACTGTATACTCATAAGGCTCTCAACCTCTCCTTGTGAGTAAAAGACTTCTCCTATCCACAAATCATCCTTTAGTTAAATCACAACCCAAGTTTGACTATATAATGTCTTCTTTAGAAAACAAATGACCCACCATCCTAATTCAATACTCTCCAAACCTACTCACCAATAGACACTAATTAATGCATACATAGAATATTCTTTCAAATATTATAAGAGATTTTAGAAGAGTAATCATTAAACCTTATTGAAAGGTCTTTGCAGCAAATTAAAAATTTAACAAATTGTGATGGACACAATTTCCCTTTAATAAGCAAGCATCAAAACACACCTTAATCACGTCTCTTGAGAACTGTTAATGTCCTCCACCAACCCACCCAAATGAACTCCATCATTGTTTCCTCGTGGTCACAGTCTTGCAGACAATTAAGCTGCGGATTATCTCACTTTTATCAACATTAGAAAGTCAAAACTTGGTACTTTTATAATGATACTCCAATGCCCTATAGATACACTACCCATGTCCTATAATAATTTTTTTTACAATATTTTTTTATATTATCTTAGAACATATATTGTTCAAACAGTAGAATTGGCCATCTTTCAAAGATTTAGATTCAATCAAGAAAAATTTATGACTTTAGAATCCTTTTCGTTTCGCCCGCTGCTCAATGGTTTTGGATTCAATCCCCATTATTCAATCTTCCCCACAACCAACAACTCAAACTTATTTGAATGAATTCGGTTGCAACATCTGAATTCTGGTCCTACAGTTCTGAAGTTTGATAGGGGAAAAGTAAGGGAGCGTTATGAGATTCCTATTTCAACAAACACATAAAATGAGTATTCAGTACTACTACTACTGCTCCACCTGTGTGTCCACTGTTAACTGTGTTAGGTAGCTCTACCACTCAAAATAGGGGAAGTAAAAGATATTCCACATGCTCCTTTCTTCCTTCTTTCTTGGTGTAAAGTTGATATCACACCTACCCCCTACTATATTGACCATGATTGTCATTGCCGGTGACATGCCAGTCGGTTGAATCTGGTTGAATCGATGTCGGTCTTAAAACTGGCATAAACATCGCTAGTATGACCGTCACGATCGGTTTACGAATTCTTAGTAAGATGACGTCTATTTGGTAAGTTTGATTAATAAATAATGAATTTATTGTATATTTTATGAATATAAAAGTTAAAAGTTCCTGTAATTTTTTGTTGGATTCGGGTATAAACATTTAGATTTTGACGTTAACTGTTGTACTTAAATATGAATTTTTGTTAATTAATTTGGAATGTCGTATTTTATTAAGCCGAGATAATCATGCACAAATCGATTATATACAACTGGTGTACAATTCCCACTTGCTAAACCGGTTTGAAAACTTAGATGTTCACATCCTTTCCCTTTGTTTATTTTCTGGGCCCATTTCTGCAGAAGCAAGGCAAATATATTAATAACTCCCTTCTTCTTCTTCCTCCATCTGGCCCATCCAGGCAAACCTGTTCTAGTAGCTCTACTGTGACTATCTGCCTTTCTCTGCTTTTCTTCCTTGTCTAGTTTTGTGATGAGATTTGACGGCGTAAAAGTTCTGGCGGAAGCCGTGGGTTGCTTCCAAGAGAGCAGTTAGGGAAGGTGTGACAAATGGAACTCCTGGCGAGAGAGAAATGCCGGTTGGTCATAGTTCTGTGTCAAAGACACGAACCATCAAATTGGACAGCATCGTTCGGGCGAAAGGAATGTAGCTCAAACTGTACCTGTAATCCCCACCCCAAAGATAACACTTTTGAAAAAGCATTCTACAAAGTTTACTATACAAACACAAAATGAAGAAGCTTCATTGAAGTATATGCAAAATCACCTCCATTCTTCCACTAACAAGGAAAAGACAAACTTACCAAATCAGGGCACATATTTCACATACTATAGCAATCAATGTCAAAATCTTGTTGTGGATCTGCATTGTTAAACAAGGAGAGAAAACTTAAGGTGGGTTCGGTGTTCGATCAAACGTTGCAGGCAGATTCAATGTTTCAGCCTTTCAGGTGAGCAGGTAATGTGAACTTACCAAAAGGGCGCAGATAAGTGATATTACGACGCATCCAAGGTATATGGAAGTTGCATACACACGGGTGGAGTCAAACATCATGGTCAGTTGCTGCCCAGTTCCAATGAGAAAGGCTGTGCTGTCAAACAATGGAAACACAGTACACGTTTAGTTGATTTGATTTCTTCACCAATTGAAGGAAGGAAGGGAAAGAGTTCAAAATGCAGACTTACCTTCCAACAGCAAATATGTTGCCGAAAGTGAACAACAAGGCAAACTTGATGGGTTTCACAAACACAATCAATGACTGCAACATAGTTACCATACAGGGGGAAAAAGCCATTAGCAGGTCGAATTTCTGCATAGAAAGATCATGCTTGCATCTTAAACATAGTTAGCTCGATGTGTGAAAACTTCTCATAGAGACATTTTTGGCATTGACACAGTTCATGAGTAAAATAGAAAAGCATAAAACGCACTGACACAGCTCATTCTTATAGCTGAATAAGCCCCAAATCAGGGCAAGAGTCACTTGCAGAGAGCAGATGACTACCCTCTACCACAGTTTGAATTGGAAATCCCAGAATTTCCAAATTTACAGGCCATCAGCCAATCAAAATCCTTTTTTTTTTTTACAGATGGACTGAAACTCAAAAGAATGGTGGCAGGAATGGTTACCAGAAACATGAAAGCCAGACCAGCAGCAAGCCAAGCTGCGAATGCGTACATTCTCTGCACCAATAGAGAATCCCATCAGCAACTCGGAGTGATATTGATCCTCAAATCAATTGGATCAATCGGGGAACAGAACAGCGGGGATTGTGTGGCGAAGAAGAGCAGGAAGAACGAAAACCTGCGTTGCAGTGAGGGAACAAGACCTATCTGAATCTTCTTCCAAAAAGCTCTCTCCCCTGTCGCCATCCTCATCCCCTGCTATGAACTGCTTCAATTTCCTCATCTTTCTCAGATAAGCTTGCTCTGCGATTTCCTTTTCCTATCAGTCGATCAAAAAATGAAAAAACCAGAATCTTACAGAGTTGAGGGGCACGCGCACTTCCTCTGTTAATTCTACTGAATATTGGTTAGCCCCTGAACTTTTACTAGTTTACGATTCCAATCAGTAAACTTAAATTTTGGTCATAGAAATAGTAATGAAACAAAGACAGTTACGCTTCGATCCCTTAACCGTCGTCACACAAGAAAATCATCAATCCACAATGAAAATTTGATGGTCTATAAGGACATCTTGGCCTATATTTAGTTATTTACTTGGTGAGAGTTTTCTTCTTATAATGAGATTCGATTAAATGTTTATCTGGTTTCACTATTTAATCACCCCCAATAATTTACGAAAAAATGAAGATTAAAATGTGTATAAACCAAGATATTAAGATAATAATATGTCATTGTGTTTAATTGACTTTATGATGGTAGATTCTTACGTGAAAATATAATGCCTGCAAATCATACATTAGTAAATACAAGTTTTCTTCAATTATTAAGCCCTTATATGGGGCATTGAACAGTCTTTAACGAACCGGGAATAATAATTATCAATAAAAATAGGGCTGCTCATTTAGTACCTACTATAGCCCTTTTATCGCTAGTTCAACTATTGTTCGACTATTACATTGAGTTGTTTGCTGTACTTTGATCATCTACTTAATTCCATTATCTATGAAAACAAAAAACAATACCAAGAAAAACTCATATTTAGTGTTAAGACTTTGAGCCTAGAGGCTTAGTAGTTGGGTGAAAATGAAAGTAAAATTTTTACTAGTTTAGGGACTAAAATAACAAAAATTCTCAAGTTCAGAAGCCACATGCTCATTTTGTGTTCCTTTCTTTAGTGGGCAATACTGCACCGTTTCGGTGCTATCTCCGTCAAATAAGAAACGGAATCGGAAAGGAAAACAATTATCTGAGATACTTCGTCGGTCCCCGGAGCCGATTCACTGATTCGACTGCGAGTAGAGTAGTCCGCAGCCAGAAAACCCTAACATCCATTGATATAGCTCTGCAGAAGGAGACCTAGCTGGTCGCCGGGGAACTTCTGATCAGCAAAGAAGAGGAAGCCGGCCGGAGTCAACCAGGGAAGATGTCTTCCACTCTGCTGGAGACGACTAGGGCGTCTCATGAGGAAGTTGAGCGGCTGGAGCGGCTGATAGTGAAGGAGTTCCAGAACGATCCTACTTCCAGCAAGGACCGTCTCCTGCAGAGCCACCGCGTTCGTAACATGATCGATACGATTGTCACTACCAGCCATAAACTGGTAATGTCCCCCCTCTATCTCTCTATCTTTGTAGCCGCTCTCTTTCCGAATTCCGACTTTCTTTGGAGAAAACGCTGGACGTTAGGTTAACTGAATGTAATTTCTTATGGCTGGTTCAGGTTGATATATACGAAGATAAGGATCAAGCTAGGAAGGACGAGATTGCTGCCCTGGGAGGCCAGACGGCTAGTGGAACTAATGTGTTTAGTGCATTTTATGATAGACTGAAAGAGGTAATGTACTGAACCATCTGCTTTCTTAATTGGGAAGAAGAACATAGTTTAGGTTGTGTTATCTAGATTGATGATGCCCTGATGATACTCGAATGGTGGCGGAAGCTCGAAACTGGAGGCTAATGAGTCTTGTTGTTTGAAATTGTTTGGTTGTAAGATTCGTGAATACCACAGAAGGCACCCGGCATCCCGTGTTGTGGATGTGGATGAGCAGTACGATGCACTGTTGAAAGAAGAACCTGTCATTGAGTTTACTGGCGAGGTATCTCTCTCTCTTCCCACTTCCATACCTTTTGCCAGAAATTAGAAGGAGCATCATGCATTAGTATTACTATGAAGTTTGAACTATAGGTGCTAGATAGCCTTATTCGAGCTATTGTTACATGGCCATCTTTCCTGTCCTCTAACTTCATCCTTGCTTTAGGTTTCAGATCCTACAAACTACTCAGTAAGGCTTTTGAGATGAGCACTTGGTGTTTCTTTATAGGCCAAGTTGGTGGCTCTATTTAGGCATTGAGTTGTCGTGAATCAGTATCTATACATTAGGGTTCATAGTGCGCTTAGAACAAAGATTCTTCTGCTTGCAACCCTTATTAGTCAGATTGTTTGAGTGTTGTTTGGCTATGGTAATATCAATTATCCATCTGTGTCATTAGATTAGGTTAGCATCTGGTTTCTCGTAAAGCTTTCCCTTGTTTATTTTGATTCTGGCTCTCATTTGCTCTTTGGGAACAAAATTCACATTTCAGGAAGCCCATGGAAAGTATCTCGACTTGCATGAACTATACAACCAGTACATCAATGCGAAGTTTGGGATGCCCCGTAGTGACAAAAAAGAATCTGAGGACTCGCACATTGAGTACTCAACTTATCTCAATCTTTTCAGTCAACCACAGAAAATCAACTGGAAACTCAAGTTGACCAGGTAATTTCTCTTCGATTCTTGGTATCTGCTTGTGTCTACATGGCCGAGCTTGATTTTAATTGTTTCGGTCAACTCAATCAACATGTTTAGTGTTTTGAACTGTTGGTTTTCCGTGATTTCTCATAGTTTTGATTCTTATTTGCAGGCAATACAGGGAATACACACAGAATCTTTTGGAGTATTTGGTCTATTTTTTCCAACGTACAGAACCATTGCAAGATCTTGATAAAATCTTCTCAAAGGTGTGGTAGAATCTTCTGCAATGTGCATTCTTTAGTTTGGGTGTGGTGATACTGCTGTATTGATATATGCACGGTCCTCAATTTCATAATCATACATTGTTCTGTTATTGGTAGCTATTGTACTTTGCATATGCATTATGGGTCCTATAGTTATTGATGCTAAAGTTGTGAGATGTAGTTACTACTTACTAGAAAATATATTAGATAAAACCATTTCTGCATCTTGATAGAATCTCCTCCAAGGTATTTGTAGACATGTTCTGCACTTGATTTTGGGTGGTCATTCTGCTATTTTAGTGATATGCTCTAGCACTTTCTACTTTTCACACGCACACACACATATATCTACATTAAGGGACATATAATGAATTAAGAAAGTTGAAACTGATTCGTTATAGCTGAAATGTTTCTGTTTGTGTGCTCTGACCACTCTTGTTAGTATTTAGAGGCATCTGCTTAAACTAGGTGGTTACTTTGTTTCTTCATGATATTGACTCGGTCTCTTCAGTCCCACACTTCTCTAACATTCTACCGCCTTGAACAGGTTGTAACTGAATTTGAAGAGCAGTGGAAAGATGGGAAGGTACCTGGATGGGGGGGTGGTCAGGAAAATGGGCCTGTTCCGGCTCAAGACACCTCAATTGATCTTGATTATTACACCACAGTAGAAGAGCTGATGCAAGTGGGTCTTGAAAAATTGAAGGAAGTAAGTATGTTCTTTTTGCTTCTATGGTTGCTTTTCCTAGGATGTGGTTTGCTGCTTGCTCTTCTTTTGGTAGGTAATTTTTTTTGTGAGTGATTCTCTGTGCATCTAGTACACCAAATAATAATTTGACATGGTACTATTAATTGTCAGTACCATTACTTAGTTGGTTCTGACCCTACATTCTTGCTGCAATGGAGCCTTTAATTTAGAAAATGCAAATAAAAGAAGAGGACAAATGAATGATTCCAGACAACAAAAGTTGCTTACTTGCTTACAGTCTACTCCTTTCTTATTTTAGCTTTAGGTGTCTTACTTTTGTGGATGTCGATACTTCGGATTTTCATTGATACTTGCTTGATATATTTTCATTTGTCAGGCATTGGCTTCATTGGGATTAAAGACTGGAGGCACTCTTCAGCAGCGTGCAGAAAGACTTTTCCTCACAAAGGTTGCTTTCTTACTCTTGCCTTACACTTGCCTACTTTTATTGTCCTGTATCTCATTCTCTGCTAAGTATATAACTAAGGTGTTTCTTTCCTTGCAAGTCATATGCTGTAATTGATAGTTCTTATACGTCCTATTTTATCATTTGCAGCACACTCCTCTGGAAAAATTGGAGAAGAAGCATTTTGCCAAAGGTTCACAATTACCAGTACAGAATGGAGCTGCTGCTTTGAAGGAGAACATCAACTCAAAGGAAGTTGCCTTGATGGAGGCCAAAGTCATCAAACTGTGTACCTTATTGAGTGAGGTTTGTCTCTAATGCTCAGTACCTTTTTTCTTCATGCATACTTTCCGAATTTTGAAGCCTGCAAATTGCACAGTACCTTGCATTTTGCCAAAGCTTGAAGTACTTTTTCCCCTTCTTGTGGATGGCAATATGTAATTATGATTCTTTCATGAACCTTTTCAGACAATCGAAAGGACAAAAGAGAATGTTGAGAAGAAGCAGGCTTTGACATACGAGGAAATGGAATCAGAACGTCAGGAGGTAAAGCTCTATTATGATTAGTATTACTATTATTATTATTATGATGATGATGATGAACCTTCCTTGGAATCCTTTCATTCTTTCTTTTGCTCAAGGTTTCCTCTTTTTTGCTTTGTCATACATCTTGTAGTTGCAAGCTGACTGATGGTTAACTGTTGTTGTGGCAGGAGGAGATGCAAGCAGAAAGTGAAAGTGACGATGATGACCAACAAATTTACAACCCTCTCAAGTTGCCCATGGGTTGGGATGGAAAGCCTATCCCATACTGGCTGTATAAGCTTCACGGTCTCGGCCAGGTACTCTCTTAGCTATGAACTAATGAACTGTGACACAGTCAAGCATATCCATCTGCTTTTTAGCTCCTCTGTTCAACTCGCATATAGCCTAGTATCATTATGAATTTATGACCATATATTATATAACGGTAGACCTGTTCTTTTCTGGTTTTGATGGACGTGTTCTTGGATTTTGGGTTTTAAAATCGCTATATGCTAATTTCCTTTTGCCCCTGCAGGAATTCAAGTGTGAGATCTGTGGTAACTACAGTTACTGGGGCCGTAGAGCTTATGAGCGGCACTTCAAGGAGTTTCGGCATCAACATGGGATGCGTTGCCTAAACATTCCAAACACCAAGAACTTCAACGAGATCACATCCATCGAAGTACGATCTGACTTCAGCATTAGCATTTTTGTCTTGTCTTTTTTTTTCTTCAAAAGTGTAAAACATCTCTTTTCTCGACGCAGGAAGCAAAGGAGTTATGGAAAAGGATTCAAGCCCGACAAGGAATAAATAAGTGGCGCCCGGATCTTGAAGAAGAGTACGAGGACAAGGAAGGCAACATTTATAACAAGAAGACCTTCACCGATCTGCAGCGTCAGGGTTTGATCTGAGTCTGACTATGCCCTGCCTATGGAAGAAACTTGGCTGTGCTGTTCTTCCTTCTATTGTACCTGCTTCTCATTGTTTGTTAATCGCCTCAGCCAACCACTTTGTAATGATCTATTATTAGTTGTTAGCTACAGCTGTAGAATTTCCTGTGTATTTCTGAAATCCAAGTTTTGGTACAAAACTTGCCATAAAAAGAAGAAAATAGTTTTGGTACGAGACTTAATTTCGTCCTCTCTTCTTCTTCCTTCATTTTCGTAACATCTACTGTCCATGCTTATTGTGTATGGATCATGCAGAAGTCTGTCCTCGAAACTTTGCCAGCAATGTTGGCATGAAAGTTCAGTCTGGATGCAAATGGTCATAGTCCCGTTTCTAGTTCAAGAATTGTGTGCAATCTGTAAGAGATGTCGATTGTTTTGAACTACATGAATATGTACACAAACTGTACATTCAAATTTCATTCTAACCAAATCACCTTCTGCTATCTACACACTTCTTACTGATCCAAACAAGACCTAGCAAACAACAAAGCCGACCCATTCACTCCACGAAGCACCAGATGCCTAGCGTCAACAAACGTCCCACACACAATCCTCGACAAATCGAACATCTCTGGAGGCAATTGGATTCGGACCTCCCGAAGTGCATCACGTGCCTGAACCACATTTCCACGACCCTTCTCTCCATCGTCAAACGTCATTGTGATGTCGACATTCTCACCCGAAGCAAGCTTCGCCACACGGAGGCTCGACGGGAACTCCTTAAATGGCATGGCTTTCCTCCATCTACCTGCTAGTAACTTGGGGGCCAGGGAATCCATATCAGTAGATTCCCCGAATGAGAATCTCCCGCTGGTGGTGTTCTTTTCTCCCTTGAGGTACAGTCGTTTCCCTGACATTAGTTTGAATGGAGAGTTCACTTGCAGCTGGCCGTCCACACCGGTCTTATCATGGGGCCAGTCTCGACCGGTCATGACCGTGAAGTCAACGCTGGAAGTGAATGAGAGATCTCTGCTTTGTTTTGATAGTCTGGATACTGTTAGACTGACGTTCCCTATGAGCACTCGGGCGGGTGGCTGGCGAAGGGTCAGTCCCACATGCCTCCCTGTGCAGTATATTAGACGCCATGTTCCTGGTAGCAATTCGAACCAGTTCTGCATATGAAATTGGAGCATAGATAAGTGCTGAATCTAATTTGATTGGTTTCAGTTTGATTTTATATGGAAGTGATGGATATCAAAGCGCTTGCCTACCTTTGGCTTGGAATTAGGATTGAGCATCTCCATCAGTTCAATGAAATACGAAATCCTGTTTCGCTATTATAGCAAATCACAAGAAGTTAGCCTGGTCTGTTTATAAATACCAAAAGGTTTCTAACAATTTCCATAAAAAAAGGCTTCTAACATCATTGATATATATCAAAAGGGTGAAAACATGAGGGGGTACCTGAGGCCTACTATAAATGTATTCCTCTATAATTCGCACAGCAGTTGAGCCGAGACCCCATTGAATGATATCCATGGATGGAGTAATACGCCATCTGGGTCCGCACAGAAATGGATGCCTAAGAGCATCCAGACAGCTGCAACGGAAATGATCCAGCTGCTATAGTTAGACAAAAGAGAAGCTAGCCTTTGAATATCAATGCACTGATGAGATGCTACCTCATTCTTTTGGAAGGTTTAGTTGCAAGTAACGAGGACAGAAGGTTCCAACCTGCACCCCAGTTCCGGTCGAGCATCTACAGAAAACCCAATGAATTCAAATGTTTCACCACTTAATATGAACAATGCTAATTTGGAGGAATATAATATACAACATACTTGGAGTCCGACGTTTCCAGATGAACTACTCCTATTAAGAGTTTGTAACAAGAATTCACGCAAGCAGGAAGGATCATGTCCCTGCAATGACGCGTAAATGAGTTGCGTGCGACTCAAGTAAGAAGAATATTAAAAAAGCAGAGATGAACATATTTAGATTGGATTACATGGTTCAAAAAATCTCAATATACTGTGTTATACCTTTACGAGGAAGGTTTTGAACTTCGAAAATATCAGTGGATCCATGAGTTCTCGTAACACCATTTTTGCCATCATGAATCCCAGGCATCTATACAAAAATTGAATCAGACTGAGATTTACAAGTCTCTTCACAAGCTTTTGCACTCCACAGTGATTCTGCATACTATACCTCATGTCAAAGCCAATCATCATCTGTCGCCGATCCATGTTGTTGTCCAATGTAGTATTATTTTGACCATCCTCATAGAAGTCTGCAGCATTACCCAGTATGCCTACCTGTAAGGTTGGAAATGAAATATACATAACAAGTAAAAACTAACAAGAGAAACAACCAAGAAACCAGCATTCTTATAATCACCACATGCCATCATTCTGCTTTGTACAAACTACTAGATTCTTGTCAATTAACATCTAAAATCAAAATTACCAAATCTAGTCAACAAGCAGAATCCAATAATATTTACTTTGATATGTCTATCCACTGGGCTTATATGCACATTCTCCAGCCTCAGTTCTGTATGAGCAAGTCCATGACTGTGCAAGTAGTTTACCTGAAGCACAAGGGTAAAACACAATCTTTAATTTCATCACAGGGTAAGCGTCCATTGATATAATTATCTACATTAATTAAGCATACTCCAATCAAAAGGTCTCTCATCAAGACACGGATGATTCGTAATTTCCTCGAGACTGTCGGCCCCCCAACCGTGTCATCTCCAACCCTTCTGACAGATTCCTCATCCAATGCAAGTGTAGCTTCCAAAGTTGGCAGCCAATCTGACTGATTAAGCCAATGTCTCAAGGAAAAACTTCCATGGTACTGCCATTGAAGGGGGAAAAGAACACAAGGAACAACTAAGAAGTAAGATCTCCCCTCTGGTAATTGTTATGCAAAAGACTTAGAGGAGGCAAGGCATCTTACCCCATGGACCAAAGTAAATGAGGCATCGCCAGAGCTTGTTTGTGAGGAAACATAGCCATGAACTTGCATTGAATACGAATGATACATGAGCCTCCGATGAACCAACTTCTTCAACACCTGCAACGAAATTCTAACTGTAAGTAAATCTATAATATGATGAATACCCCCATCAAAACTTGACGCCACATTCAATCCACTAAATCACAAACCTCTATTGCTCGTTTTCCCCTTCTTTGAGCTTGTGTACTCGTAAGCCGCCGCAGCACAACTCTCGTATTGTACAAAGGACTGCAGGCAAAAGAACTCTCACCATGACTGATCAAACAAATTATCCCGCGAAATAGCTCGATTATAGAGTTCAATACTCACCTCGTCTCATCATCAACCACCGCTTCGAATACTACTTCGTCTCCCTGCAAGATACCGTCGAAGTTCAAACTTTATAGACAATTGAAGGAAATGTACACATTTGAATTCAAATTTTTTTTTTCTTCAAGAAGGAGCATTACCCGCCCGCCAAGGCCAGCGCTAACCCGATCGAGCATCTTGAAATCGGACATTTCGAACCGTATCACATGCCCCAAGTCTTCTTCCTCCAGGAATTCAATCGGGGAAACGGCTCCGCTCGAACCAGCAGAAGAAGAAGACGATGAAGAGGAGAAGCACCTCACAGTCCCCATTCTCCCGCGGGACGAACCACCGGACCTGCTTCTCAATCGACCCCGTCGGATCATCCTCGCCGGCGACAAGCTCCGGCCGAAGCCCACTGCTTCGAATCGCCTTTCTGCCAGAGAAGGGGCCCGCAGCACCGCCGCCATCGGATTGGAGCTCCGGCTATGAGAGTGAGTGATTTGAGGGAAAAGATTATTGGGGAAGAGAGTATAAATGGAAGAGAGAAGTGGCGTGCGAGAGGTGCGTGATGAGACGAGGTCTGAGCGTTTCCGCCATGGGTTTAGCTCGTGTCAACGTCGGCCCCTGCAAATATCTCCAACTCCAGGGACCGTGGTGGGTTGCTTCCTTGCTCGAGCTTCTCGCGTGGTACGGAGGCGTGACTCGTCTTTCTTTGATGGCTCTGTCTGTTTCCGTTTTTTTGTCACTTGATTTCAACTGTCGGCCTGTTCCCGCGACACGCGGGGATTGGTTGGCGGGCTTTCTCGTTGACGATGGAAACTAGTTACGAGCCCAAATGGTAATGGGCCGTAAATTATTAGTAAAAGGTAAAGAGAATAAGCCCATATTTTCCCCTCAAGGCCTAAATATGCTCTTCTTTTGTATTTGCCGGAGTACAGAATCTACCGCGCGGTTTCACCCCGCGGGTAAATCTCGGCAAACCTGCTCTGCTCTTTTTTTTACCTCCCAAAGTCGCCGCGCAGTCGTGGGGTTTTAACTTTTAAGTTTAACAAACACACAAGCAGAGATAAACGGGGGCAAAACAAACTACACCTGTTTTTTTTTCCCAATCCAACTCCCTCTCTCTTCTACGCCTCCCTTTTCTTTCTCTTCACCAACACATTTATCTTTCCTTACTCGATCTCTCTTTCTCTCTCTTCCTACTTTCCATTCCGCCATCCCTCGCAATCTATCCCTCCCGCTCCCCGGCGATCTACGCCCTTCGGCCGCCGCCGCCGCTCCCATTGCCGCCGGCTAGGGTTTCGGTGTCTTCTGCTCTTAATTCGTTCGCTGTATGCTCGTCGGCTTTGTAGTTAGGGTTTCGCTTACGGGAGGTTTCCAGAATCGAAGCTCATAACTGTCAGATTCGGTCAGTGGTTGGGAGGAAGATGATGAATTAGGTTTACGGGATTGATGTCAGGAGAACTACGGGGAAGTTGAGTTTCTGTGCCTGCTTGGCGATTAGGTTTTTTTTTTTTGGGGTGTATTTTGGATTTGGAATCGGGGAGAGTCGAGTTTGAGTGTTTCGCGATGCCGAGGAGTTCGCGCCACAAGTCGAGCAAGCACAGTTCGAAGGATGCGAAGGAGAAGGACTACTCGGATTCAGAGAAGGAGACAAGTTTGAAGGAGCGTAAGTCGAAGGAGGAGAGCGGTTCCGCTATGGTTTTGAAGGAGTCCGCTGGCTCCGGGGAGAAGCGGAAATTGGATTTGAAGGAAAATAAGGATGGTGTTGGCACTGGAAACGGGGAATATGCGGAGGAATATTCTTCTTCCTCGAAGCGACGGAAGGACAGAGTGGAGGATGGTGGGAGCGACAGGTGGAATGGCGGGGAGGATGGTAAGGGCGAAGCGTCCAAGAAGTCAAAGGAGAAGTTGGGCGAATCGAAGAGCAGCAAGCGGCGGGAAGAGAGTTCGAGGAGAGATGACAATGTTGGAAACGGTGGTGGTGAGGGCGATGAGGTAGTTGGGAGAAGGAGCAGCGGAAAGAGTGAAGGGAAGCATAAGGAGTCGAGTAGCCGAAAGGATGGGGCTGATAGGGACAAGGACAGAGAAAGGGATAAGGATAGGGAAAGGGAAAGAGATAGGGAGAGGAAGGGTAGAGAGTCAAGGAGCGAGAAGTTGATTGATGGTGAGGACTTGCGTTCTGGAAAGCAGGTCTCTGAAAAAACTGGTAAGGTATCTAGTTGAATAGTGTATGCTATGCTTGATTATGTAGATTGTTGGTTATGTATTGTATGATGATTGTGTGATGCTCTTTTAGGTTATTGGTTGTGTTATGATTCAGTGTCAATGATTTGGTTATGTTATATTAGGTTGTTGTCTAGTATACGTTGAATCGTAGCTGGTATGGGAAGTGGCATTTTACTATTTGGAGGATGGAAATTGCTTGTCAGTTTTGTTTTGTTTGTGCTAAAGGCGAAAATATAATCTCTGGGCAACTTGGGTCATGTGACAATTTTTGTGTGTTCTCTGTCAGAGAAATAGTGGTAGCTTTTTAGTTCTGTTCTCAGTGCCAAGTTGCATGGACAATTGGATTAATTATATGCCGGGAAGTTATTTCTCAGCCATTGAAGACTTAATTCTATATGTTTTCTCTGGTTTGCTTTTTGGTTGCGTGATTATGTGGTCGATGTCTGTAAGCCTTATCACAGATATTTTGGCGTGAAGATGATGAAAAATAGCTCTCGATGAAACCCTTTCCTATTTATTTGTAGCATGTCAATCTTTTAGGTGAAAAGAATAAGTTTATTTTAAGGTAGGCAAAACCTTTGATAATTGTCTGATGATGCCAATTTCCTTATTAATCTGCTTTGAGCCAGCCCTTTCAATGGTTGCCTGCATTAATTCTTTTCAAATGTTTAATTGCAGATTTCTCGGTTCTACATCCAGTTTTTATGATGATTTGTTTTCTGTAACTTAAGTCCTATGTTGGGTGAATGCATTACAATATCAGTAGTTCATCTATCTAGTTGGTTGTTTTTTAAATGTTGTCGGTGCATGTTTCTATGTGTACTTTTCCCCCCGGTTGACCTGAGCTTTACCCATTTTATTTTTCTTGCTGTAGTGCTCAAAGACACATTGCACGACCCAGAGCCTGAAAATATACCTGAGAAACGCACTAGGAGAAAGAGAGATGGTTCTGGCGATGGTGATAAGTACCAGGATGATGTTACCAAGGATGGAAGATGTAGAGATAAGAACCATGAAGGTGAAACTAGGCATCGGGATGACAAGCAAAGAGATGACCGCGCTTCAAGAGATCATATAAATAGCAAGCACTCTAGGGATGAGCAAGAGGGTACAGGTTCCCGACACAAGAAATCTAAGCCTCAGGACATTGAGTGTGACCGCGATCGGGATAGTGATTATGATCGTGACTGTGATCATGATATTGGCCGTGACCGCGGTTATGAGCGGGGAAGGGACAGTGACCGTCACCGCGAGCGAGTTCGTGATCGGGAAAATGATCGAGACCACGACTGGGAGTGGGATAGAGATCGAGAACGTGACAAGGATCGAGATAGAGATAGAGACCGGGATTATGATTCATTGTATGTTGATGATAGAAGAGATAGGAACAAAGAAAGCAGGTCTAGGAAGAGGTCTCCTGATGATCTTGATGATGATGCAAAATTGAGAAGTAGTAAAGGATCCTATGCAGATGCAGATAATAAATTTTCAATTGGCAGTAGGATTGAAGGAGATGCTGACAGGGGAAGGTCTCAGTCACGCCAATCACACCATGAAAATTTCAGTGGAAGCAGGAGGAGAGCTTCACCAGTCATCAGTTCTCAGGGTGCTGCAGATGAATATAGGTAATCATTCCACTCAGTATTAATTGAATTATGTAGTCAGGCTTGGTTATCCGATTATCTTTTCAGTTCTTTTTTGTTTGCAAAATCCTTTTTTTTTTCTTGCTGGAAAACTTTTTAGCTTAAATGCTGTACTTTTCATATTTCTGGTCAGAATAATATGTGGTTGTACTCTTTGTGTTCTGTCAATTTTCACTTTAGATAATCTGATGTTTTCTCCCCTTCATAATAGTGTCATTGATTCTGTTCATGAGGTGACCATAGGATGTAATTGACTGGCTTCCTCTCTTTTCCAGGTATGCAAAAGCAGAAGATGTGAGGTACAGAGATGATGGGCCAGAGCAGAGGCTCAGAACAAATAATTCGAGAGATGCTAGTTTGTTTTCTGGAGGATCGGATAGATCTTCCAAGCTAAGATCCTCTGAGAAACCTGTGAAAATGGATGATGGCCACTCAACGGAGCTGTTGGAGAGAACCACTAGCTCCAAAGCTTCACCGATGGGACTTGTGGACAGATCTCCATCGTCGACTAGCCTCGAGCGTAGATATATGGGCAGAAATAATGTTAGAAGGAGCCTTGAGATTGACGAGTCAGGAAGAAGGAACAGTGGGTCGATGGGAGCTAGAGATGTGCCTTCTATTGAAGAAAGATCAGTTCGGGATTTGCCAATGGACAAAGAAGATTCCAGTTTAAATGGTTCTTCCTTTTACAATAGATCTAGTCAGCCTAATTCCCATTTGAATCCTCCCCCGCCATCCATCAGGGGCGGGGTTAGTAGCCCTTCCTTTTTGGGTTCATTTGATGATGATGGTAGGCTCAACACCAACAGTGGTCGCTACAAGAGGACCGGCGATCTCAACATGGGACGAGGTCAAGTAAATGCCTGGAGGGGTGCCCCAAATTGGCCTTCACCTCTGCCTAATGGCTTCATCCCTTTTCAACATGGACCTCATCATGGGGGCTTTCCGCCTATGCTGTCTCCTTTTCCAAATCCATCTTTGTTTGTTAGACCCTCAATGGAGCTAAGCCATTCTGGTATCCCTTATCATATAACAGATGCTGACAGGTTTTCTGGTCATCTGCGCCCTCTTGGATGGCAGAACATAATGGATGGATCGGGTTCTTCTCACTTGCATGGATGGGATGGCGGTAGCAATGGTATATTTAGGGATGATGGCCATATGTTTGGTGGTCCAGAATGGAACCAGAATAGGCATGCGATGAATGGTCATGGATGGGATTCGAGTTCGGATATCTGGAAAGGACAAAACGGTGATATCACCACAGACTTGACCTCAAAATCTTTGAAGGAGGACAACAAAGTTCAGGCTTCTGTTGATGATAGCTCTGGTGTACTGGGAGCAGGTCAAAAGTTGCAGAATGAAACTTGTAATAAGGATGGTTCCAAGGGAAAAGCAGTTGAAAGTAAACCTCCTGTTGTTTTAGCAGTCAAAGAATCTTCTAAATCTCATCCCAAGACAACTTCCCAGCAGAGGATTGCCGCTGACCCTCCTAAAACTTCGAGTGAAGACCACTTCAGTAATTTTATCAATGCCTATCTATCTAAGGTGGACATTTCCAGTGAACTTGCTAGTTCGGATCTGTATAGTAAGTGTATGGGATTGTTGAAGGTTGAAGTTAACGCATCTGTTGATGAAGATGCTGATGTGCTGATAAATTTGAAGGTAATATACCTGAACTCGTAAGGGCTTAATTTTTCATATTTTTTCAACCATATCTTGTATCCTCTTTTCTTTTTCTAATGTCTTTAAATATACTTTTGTTGTGTGTTTTCTTCCATGATAGGATGGTGCGAGAGCAGTGCCTAAAAATTCCAGTGTATTCTTCAGTAACGCGCTCTTTCCTGCATCTAGTGATTCGATATTCAAGGTAAAAATAGGGACTATCCACGGTAATGCTATGTTTAGTAGGACTAGTTGTTTGACTCGTAGTGGTTTGTTTCTTGTAGAGAGCCATGGACATCTACAAGAAGCAGAGAGCAAGTGGTATGCCATGTATACAAGGGGGAATAATAGATGCCATACAAGCATCATCTGAGTCGAAGGAGGAGCAGCAGCAGCAATCCATTACCCTTAAAGACGGGGAGAAAGTCGAGGAACCTCTCACTTCCAACCTCGGCATAGAAGTGGCTGATGCACCACCGGTCTTCAACGTGGAACAAAAAGTTCCTGGTGGTGATGTTTCGATGGTTTCTACTGAGGAGGTCAAGATGGACGAGATCGTAGCAACAACTCCTACAGAAGAGGTGGTTCCTGTGTGTGCTGATGATATCCCTGCACATAATTTAGAGTCTGTGGGTGAAGAAGCTCCTCCTCCTAGCTCTGACATGCAGGGGAATAATCCATCGGAATGCATCGTCGGTGGTGAGTTGAAGGTAGATGAAGAAGAAGAAAGGCCGTCTGGTACCCCGATGTCAGAGGGCTCTCTACCGGATAATCCCCCTCGAGGAGGTTCCCCTTTGCCTACCGGTGGTCAGGTGGAGAGCGATGAAGGTAATAGCGGCGGCACAGATAAAAATGTCGAAGAAGAAAAGATGGAGGTGAGAGATGGGGAATGCTCTGCAGGTGGAGGTTCTTTAGTTTTAGTGGAAGATGATGATGGATGTTCTTCCAGGGCAACTGAGGGATTGGTGCATGGGGGTACGAATGAGTCTGATGAGTCGGTGTTATTAAGTCGGATACATCATTCTCCTGAAAGTACACATTGAGACTAATATTTCTATGTTCACATCTTTCTTTCCTTTCTGAAGTGCCACCTCCTTTCCCCCCATTCTCCTGCTCTTTTCCCCATTTTTGTTTTTGATGCTCTTTTAGCCGTGGAAATAAAACTGCTTCTTCCCTGCTGGTAGGCGGGGGAGGTCAATTTTTCTGGTTCTTTTCCAGTTCTCTTTTCAGTTTTGCAGTTTGGCGGCAGCATTTCGGCCTCAGGGCAGCTCCAGTTGACAGGTAAAAAAGGTATTATGGTTCTTTTTACCTTTTCGTGTTGTGTCTTGTTTTCTCGATAGGGTTTTGAAGTCATATTGTCTGAGCATAAGATGAGTTTTGTTGAAGTGAACAATGCATCTCTTTGGTGCGGTGGCAAAATACGTGGTTTTATTAAATGATCTTTTGTGAGCGTATTAGAGACTGTCTTGCGTTTGTGATTTTGTGGGCAAAAGAGGCTAGTGTCTGGGCAGTATTGTTCATTTTTTTGGTGGATGTCACGCATTAGAGTTGAGACAACGATAGGGAATATGTTTGGGTTTATTCCGTTTTGGGGTATTTAGGCTGATTTGTCACGTTTCATGCGTCTCCGTTTCTTACCCTGGTCACTTGGTTGTAGCCATGGTCTTTTTAGGAACAGGGTTTAGGGGATTGGGTTTTTATCTGGTAAGAGTAAGTGAAATTTGGACCCTTGGGCTCGGTTGCATTGAATTTTTAGTGGCTGCGATGGACTAAGAATGCGGCCTATATGACCGATGATTGGGCTGTGGGTAGTAATGGCAATAAGGTGGCCTCTTCAAAAATTAAATTAATAATTAAATAATTCTTAAATAAGAAAATATTTAACTAGTACAGATTGCAACAAAAGTTAACAAATTTTTCTATATTATTATAGAATCATTCATTCACGGACTGGTTGCTTATTTGATTCTTAAATTTGTTCTTAAAGAATCAAAAGTTGAAAAATGCTATTTTGACACTTACCGTTGCAAATTAAAATCAACTTGAGAAGCAAATAAACCCATGTGTATAATAGAATAGTAGGAAGAAGGGTAGCCAGTAATTGGTTTTAGTTGCTAGGTTTATCATGAAACAGTTGTATTACTATACTTGTGTTTAAAATGAAACAACATATGAGTTATAGTCTAATGGAAAACATGTTTACGAATAATAGTAGTGTCTCATGTTCAAATTAGCTAGTCTAACACTTGCATATATATACATTTTACATATATGCAAACTATTACCAGGATTAGATAATAACTTCCCCTGAAATTTTACGGTTGTCCCCTTCGCCTTGCGTACTAGTCCGACACCAAGTACGATTCAGGTTGAGTGTTCCGCACGGGTACAGGGTGCAGTGGGTCGACTCATTCTTATGTGTTATTTAAAAAATGTTGATATTTAACTATTTTTACAAAAAAAGTCATAAAGAATAATACTTAAATGAACGAGGGAGATAGTATAATGAATAATTGAGTCTAAATAGTAAAAAAAATATTCGTAAAATGTAATGGTCAAAAGAGGATAGCTAAATGTAGATGTTGATACATATCTTGATAAAAAGATTCGAGAGTGGGACAAGACGAGATAGGGCAGGTCAGAAGTACTACATAGGGGTGGGAAATGGTGCTGTTTGGACTAGACTGAACCATTTATACAATGAGGGTTGTTATTTGCCGCCGACACTTTACTATTTGCCGCCCGTATTTTAAGTTAAAATGACATTTTTGCCCCTGTTATTTGTTTAACTTCTATTACAACGGAGGATTCTTTCACACTAATATCCCCACCGTCGGCGCAAAATCACCATCGCCGGAGTCAACCGCCGACGGACCGCCACCGTCATCAACGCAACAAAACACACTCTCCGGCGTCGACTGCTCTGAAAGGTCCGCCGCCGGCTAGCGGACGGCTCGGCGCGATCTGATTGCCCGACGACGACGGTAGAATGAACGAAGAGAGAGAAGGAGAGCAGGGAGAGAGGGTATTCGACGATAATTTTTGGGAGTGGAAGAGAAGTTTAACCGTTTTAGGAATGTTAATTGGAGAGAAAAGTGATTAATATTGTGATTATTATTATATTAAATGATAGAGGGAAAGTATTATGCCGTAAGTGGGGGGATTAGGGGGAATCATTAGTATTATTTTATATCAATATTATCATTTAATTAGGAATGATGTTAGTGATAAATTAATTCCGTTGGTCAGCCTCACTTAATCAACTAGAAATCAAACTTACCTAAACTAGCAAGCAATCAATTAATTCCGTTGGCCAACCTCACCAAATTTACACTAAGTTTCCACACACAAAAAAATCGGCTAAGTGATTAAGTGAGACAAACACGGAATAGGTAATGTTATTAGGTGACCATAACTAGAATAGTTAATTATTTTTTAGAAGGAATAAGAAATTAATTTTAAATTCCGTTTCCCCTAATTCTGTTAGTAGCAATAAACAGGAAAATGATTAATAATAATAAATATTACAATTAGAACGTCTGCCATTAGGTTAATTAAGAAAATCAACATTCTCATCATAAATCCTAGGTGAAATCGACCATTTGTCTATTGGAAGTCCCGAAAAAAAATAATCATTTCTCATCATAAATCCTAGGATTAAAAAACTTATTAAATTCGATTAAATGTTTTGCATTGTATCAATTTCATAGTTAAATATCTCAAACCTTATATTGTGGATAGGAATATGTTGGAATCTATAGTTTCTCGATTAGACGTAGAGAAGGCTCATTGTGGCTTGCGGAAGGTCGGGAGAAAGCATCTTTTCGCAATTAGTAGAGATATTGACGTGAAAAATTATTGAAACTCTCGTAGATCCCCTAAAATTTGGATCCGAACATGGCGGAATCAACCGTTTCTCGATCGGACATTCTGGGCTCAAATAAATGAATAGTGCCACAAATTCCATCGTGGTTTTTGGAGGCCCTTGTGGTCATAACGAGAAGTTTCTTGAGCCTACCGCACGTATTTTGACGATGTGAACAATTGTTGTTAGAGGATGCTGAGACGACTTAGCCTCTAAGACAATGTTATAGTATGATTAGATAGGTCGAGGTTTTTTTTTTTGACAAATTGATAGGTCGAGGCTAAAGGTAGCTATTTGGTGGAATGAGGGTTTAGGATTTGGGAGGGGTAGGAGATGTAAAAGGGGAAGATATGTTTTCATTTTTGCAACTATCATAATTAGTCCAATTAAGTCGAGTTTATTATTCTTTATCACTATTAAGTACAATATTTTTAATTTAATTTCTATTCGGTACAATTTATATATTGTATGATTATTAACATACCATAAATTAAAAAATAAAGTAAAATACTCATATATATTTTATATGTAATTTACCCATACGGTATTAAATATATAAATAGCATGACAATTACTTGGAGGAAACATTTGCATCAATTTACCTTGGACGTGGGTTTTCAATGGTTAATTGAGGAAAATAATTACCTTAAGTAGGGAAAATAATTTCCTTAATTAAACCCATGACAATTAGGAAAAGAGAAGACCGTGGAGTTCGGTTATATTTATTAAGGAGCAATTTCGGAAACCCTTATTTAACATAATATAATTAGTTAATTCCATTCTATCCCTAATAAAATCTTAAAACCTCTAATTAGTGTTCTTAAATATAATTTCTCAATTTATGGTTCTCAATGGGTGAACTTGGCAAAATCGGCGGTTTGCTTCAGTCGCAATGTTCGCCAGGAGGAGAGTGAGGCGATGGCAGCTCGATTGGGGGTTGGGGCCATGGGGGTCCAGGATAGGTATCTAGGATTGCCTTCCTTAATTTCTCGGTCGAAATCTGAAACATTCCGGTTTCTAGAGGAGAAGCTTCTTCAGAAACTGCAAGGGTGGAAGCAGCGACATTTGTCCTGGGCGGCGAAGGAGACCCTGTTAAAGTCGGTGGCGGCGGCTTTGCCGGTATATGTTATGGCTTGTTTTAAGCTTCCAGTGACCCTTTGTCATCGACTGGATAAGTATATGGCTCGATTCTGGTGGGGTGGCTCGACTGATAGAATCCATTGGATGTCCTGGAGAAAATTGTGTCGAAGCAAGCAAGAAGGGGGGTTGGGGTTCCGTCGGTTTGAACAGTTTAATCACGCCCTTCTAGCTAAGATAGGATGGCGGCTGATTCAGGACCCTGACTCGTTGCTTGCTCGAATCTATAAAGGGAAGTACTACCCGCATGGAACGCTCCTGGAAGCGACAGCCCGGTCGAGACCGTCTTGGGGATGGCAGAGCGTTTTACATGGGGTACAGCTGTTGAAGGCAGGTTTGCGCTGGCAAGTTGGGACCGGCGAGGAGGTGGAGATTATGACAGCAAATTGGGTTCCGGGGTGTCACCCGCATCCTCCGTTGGTGTTGCCCTCGGCCCATCTTTGGGAGGGTGCCACGGTGGATGGGTTGATGGAGGAGGAACCAGGGACGTGGTGCGATGAGTGTTTGGCCAATTGCTTTACCCCTGAGACTGTGAGGGCGATTAAATCGATTGTTCTTCCCCGAGCTCGTGTTCGGGACAAGTTGGTGTGGCATGAGGATCGGTCGGGGAGATATTCGGTTAAGTCGGGATATCATTTGGCAATACGGCTAAACGGGTCCCGATGGAAGGGGAAGTGTGAGCCCTCTTGGATGGATGCTGCTTTGTGGAGGAAGCTGTGGAGTCTTGGGATCCAGCCAAAGCTGAAATTTTTTATGTGGCAGGTCATGAGCAGGATCTTGCCAACGACAGAAGCCTTTATTGTTCGGGAGATTGAGGTGACGGAGCAGTGCCCGGTCTGTTGGCATGAGGGGGAAGACTTGGAGCATTTGTTCTTACAATGTCCGGTGGCTAGGAATTTGTGGGCGGACTCAGGGCTAGAGGGTATCCAAGTCGGGCTCCCAGGGGAAAATATGGGGATCTTTTTGAGGCGGCTGCTGGAGAAAGTGACTAATGAGGAGGTCATTATGCGACTGGTCTCACTGCTTTGGCGGATGTGGAAGTCCCGCAATTGGATGGTGTTTGAGGGCTGCCAATATACTAGGGAGGTTTTGCGTAACCAGTGGATGGTTCAGGTGGAGGAATGGCAGCGGGGGACGAGGATAGCTGAGGCCCGGAGTCAAACACAAGGAGTACGGATGCCTGTTGACCCAGAGCGGCCCCCCCTGGGGGTGTCTTGGGTGTGCTCCTTTGATGGAGCAGTGAGTCAGGCATCGCATTCTGCTGTGGGGATTGTCTTAAAAGGAGCTGATGGGGTGGTGGTTAGTGCGGTTGGAAAGGGGTGGGCGGGGGTCATGGATCCGATGCTGGTGGAGTTGCTAGCTCTCCGGGAGGCAATCTTGTGGTGTCGGGCGATGGGGGGTGCATGGTGTCTGCTACCAGGGGGATGCTAAGGTCGTTATCGACAAGATTTTGACCGGCAGTACGTGGGATTGCTATGGGGGAGCAGTGTTGCAGGAGGTCCAGGGTTTGTTGGCTGCGGTGAATGTGGATGTTCTCCGGTTTGTGGGTAGAGATAACAATAGGGTAGCCCATAGGGTGGCTAGGAAGGCCCTTTCTTTGTATCCTACTTTTATCGGAGGGTTTGATTTTTGCGCTTGGCTCCTTTCGGAGATGTAATCGTTGGTGATCTTTATTTCTTGGTAATACAAGCTATCTTTTGTAAAAAAAAAAAAAAAATAAATTGGGCATTCCCTGAAGCAGAGTTTCCCTTCCCTAATAGCTAATTAATTATTAAATTTTGTTTTTCTTAATTCCGTTGATTGCAATCAAAAGAGGCGGATGAAGATGATTGAGAAACCAGCGATGGGTGAGACCATCTCTGCCCCAAAGCTGACGGCGAGGGCCGTCCGACAACGGCGGGTGGCGGTTCCCGTCCGACTCCGATGGGCGGACGGATAAAAAAAATAAAAAGAAAAAACGTGCCTTGACGGCGAGCTCCTCTTCGACGGCGGCGATTTCTTTCTCGATGGCGGTAACCTCTTCAACAGCTGTGGCGAGCTCTATTTTTATGGCGTAATCTTGGTCCGCGGCTGGAGTTGTTTGGGGATGGAGGGAGGTGAGTAAACAGAGGCGGGAGGAGAGACAAACTCTGACGGCGTCTTGGAGATGGAGGAGATGGAGGTTTGCAACGGATGGGCGAGTTTGTTTCTCAATAGCGGCGACCCAAAATCCGGCCAACAATTTCGTCGGTGGGATGGGCAGTTTTGATTAGGATTTTAAGTGTTGAAGGGTAAAATAGACATTTTTCATAAATTTACGGGCGGCAAATAGTAAATAGACGGGCGGCAAATAACAATTCATTTATAAAATATGTAATCCAGACCAAGTTGATAGAACATAAACCACAAACCAAACCATATACTATATGTCTTAGATCGGACCATGCATGTACTGTGCAACCTAGCCCAGTCATACCATTTCAACAAAACTTCATTCTTCTTCGTTCCTCCGATCCTCCATGGTAACTAGGGTTGGAAATTTTGGTAGTGCTATTTGAGATATACTGAATTAGAACAAAATTATGACTATTGGTATTATCGAATATTGGTTTATTTTTAGGGATTGGGATTGTGATTCATTTTCTAGTGTTAATCGCTATTAGAGATAACAGGATTGGGATCGGTATATACTGAAATAACGAAAAAAACTGGAAAAAAGAATGAAATTAGCACACAATCGTTGGTCATTGCTCACTCTTTGACAACTCATAACCCTCCATCCAATCCAATTTTGGTTTTATAATTTAAGTCACTTGTCTCTCACTCAATCTCTTGTTATTTCATAACACCAAAAAGCATACACTCTCGTTAGTCATTTCTCGCCCTCCATCCATTGAATGAAAGATTACAAATAAAAAGAAATTGAAATGTCGCCCATGTCCTCCCTTCTCCTTATCTATGTCCCAACTCTAGATGAACTCAAAACCTTTTGCTTAGTATCTTTGCTAGAGATTTAGATTACATACTCTAATTAATATATTTAATTTTTAATTACAAATACCGATCGGGATACCAAAATATTTAGGGATTGGGATTGTGATACCAAATTTATTTAGGAATTGGGATTTGTAATGATTTTATGATGTAATTCGATATTCGGAGTTTCGATATTTGGTATCGAAATACTGATAATGTACCAATTTTCACCCCTAGTATCGATGAAAATAAAAACTTAATTCTCCAATGTCATAGTGAAACAAAAATTTAGTAAGTGTAATTAACCCGCGAAGAAATATGAGTGGGGATCGTTTTTAACCATTGGCTTGGTCGCTTTGCTCACTGTAAATTCTTATCTCACCTATGTAAATACTTTTGTTTTGCATTTATATATCATCGACACCAGAGTCTTGATATGGCTAGTGGAGATGGCATTCCCATCTTTTCTTGTCTTTGTGTTGTTATTTTATAAGGAGATAATGCAAAAGGAATCACTTGAGCATTCTTTTGGTTTTTAGTTTGATGAGAATCAATAGATTTATTGTGCTTATACTCAAATCATAAATTAAAAAATTCGATTGTTTGCTAGTCGTGGTCGAATTGATCTCGAGTTGTTCTTCCAAATGTCGAATTGGAGGTTTAGTGTTGTTTTGGTTTGGATTAATGAGAGGTAGGTCATGGTTTGCCACACTGTTAATCGCTATTTATCGCGGTCTAGAGCACGTCAGATCGCGCACTATAGGGGATACCGCAAGCCAGATCAGGCAGTGATTCTGATCTTACGACCAGACCAAACCTTGCGTTCTATTCTAAATCGTGGTTTCCCAAATGATTTGGTTTGAATTTCTTGCTCTATCAATACTCTGCTTCGCATCACGCTATTATTGATCGAGTAATATCCGTCCCAAAGCATGTTCTGGCATATTGGATCACGCAGGTTAGATCAGAAATCGCGATCACTAATTATAGGCTGTTATATGAAAAGTCATTTCCATTCATTAATAAAGAAGCATAGACACAAGTTTCTTGGTCAACAAATTGACAACCTCTTAAAGTTAGATTAGGAAGTCTCTGTGTCTCATAACTATAGGAAACATAATTCTGCGGCCGATTAGTTAGTTAGTCAAGGCTATATTTATATTTTTGGCACACATCTATTCTATGTGAGCGCCCCAGGTTTAAGGCATTGTATTGCCTATGATGTTATGAGAATTTCCTAAGGATGTTGAGTTTATACGGATGTTGAGTCTTTCTAAAAAAAAGAACGATGTCTATAAAAAAAAAACTGAATTAAGGAAGCATAGATCTCCATGCTTAGATAAGTACTTATTGGGCCTATCCAAGCGCTTAAACACGGGCCAGGAAGCCTAGACCTCCGTGCTTAGATAAGTACTTATTGGGCCCATCCAAGCGCTTAAACACGGGTCCTGTTACTATGTCTCGGCTTGTGGCCTTTTTGCCAATGTTAGGCCTTGCAGTATAAATTGTTGGGCCTGAATAAAGGGTTTTCGGCCATGTAGGCCCAGCTTAGGGCCCAGTGTTGTAGACAGAATGGGATAAATCTATAAATGGAATGTTAGCCATTGATGAAACTGAGTAGTGAGCCTGCCCTAAAAGAAGAAAGAAAGTTAGAAACCATACCATTGGCATGATATACGAGATGTTAACCGAGACACGATCACGATCACGTTCACGTTATGAGATTTCCACCTGAAAGTTATCGAAATATGAACGCACGTTTGGGACCGAGGAAAATGAAAGGTTCGGTTCGGCGATGTAGGACGTGGCAGTTGGGGTTAGCTTTTCAACTATATGATGCAATCGTAGCAGTTAGTTAGATTTACAAAAGAGTGCCCAAAGCTATATGTGGCAGCAAAACACCTATCTATAGAGAGCTCTTATTATCACGCTCGTCAAAAAGAAGCCAGCAAGAAACCAAAAAGGATGAAAAGGAAAGAAAGAAAAAAAAACTACTATACTACTCCTTTCCTGGCAAAAATCACAAATCCTGTCATCCGTCAGAGTCCGGCAGCTGCCAATTAGGTGTTAGTGTGCTCCTTGCGGAGAAACAATATATCAGTTGAGCTCTGCTGAAGTAGCTTTGTATGGTTTGATCCACCCCTAATTCATGAACTTCCTGCAGTTTGGGGATTTACACAAGCACGGGACTTTGAATTCATCCGGCTCGTCAGGGTCGAACAAGTAATCATACCTACCAAAAAACCAGAGAAATTGAAAAAGATTATCAATCATTTCCATCCGGATTTTCTCATTTATAAGCCTACGAGAGTGACAGAGAGAGGGAAAGAGAGATACGTTAATTCGTCACCAGCAGATACATTTGTCTTCGCGATGAGGACTATACGACTTTCATCATCACCCACACTCATGATCCTTGCATAGCAATTGGGCATACACTGCATTCAACCGAACCAAACAAACGTTCAAAGCCATCATCATCCAGTAATCGCGATGTTACATGACCTCAACATTGACTTGGAAGAGCTGAGGTTATGCAGAAAGGAAAAAAAAAAAAAAATAATAACAGGCAACTTACTGAATGGTTAATGAGGCGTGCTATATTTCCTTTATCGGTTGCATCCACAACGACTTCTTCACTTATCTTAAATAACTGCAAACAGGAAAAAAGGGGAACTCAACAACCGTCTATCTAGAAATAGAAAGCAAAGAAGCAGCACAAGCCACCACGAATGTAAGGGAACCAGAGCTACTGAGTTCACCAGAAGAATGGATGACTATATATAGTAAAAGAGCAAAAATGCCGGGACTCACATAGCAGTCTTTTCCTTCTAAACGGTAGCGTGCTTCCCTCAGATCTGCAATACTGCCTCTCACCTGTTCACCTCGATATTCAAGAACCTGGATACATTCATACAGTTTTGCTCGTCATTTCACGTTTGGGAACTTTCCAGCGCATCATGCTCTGATTGATTAGGTACGTGCATATCTCTGTCTCTATTCATAACATAATGAATTACACTACCGTGACACATGAAGGTTATTAAGGTCACCAGTCCGAAGTAGAACAATAGTTGCATCTAAAGACCGACAGAGGTAACATACCATTTCTCCTTCTTGAATGTTCCTCCGGGCAAAGAGGCCCCATCCATGTATACCTGATCTCCCAAAGCAGACTCTAGTGCGCTCAGTTTTCTATCATAATAATGTGCCCCAAGGACAGGTTAGAACTCGAAACCACTCAATGGAACTCCACAAGCAGCAAATAGAAAGAAGAAGAAGGGGAAAAAAGCACACTATACTTGCCTGCAAGTGGTACAGTCGTTCCCTAAATGAAGAAAAACTTTTGGGCTCCTCCACCACCTGTCATAGATATGGAAAGACAGTAATATATTTAATTACCGCTTATTTGAATTCTGCAGATGAGAGTTCACCGAATCAATGTAAAACAAAGCATAAACATACCCTTAACGCATTTAGACTCTGTATCATGGCTAAAGGATGATGTGATACTCTTGTCAGGCGGTGAGTTACAGCTTCATCTGGTGTTCGCTAAAGAAGCATAAAACGGGAAACATGATGAGGGAATGTAATAATCCACAGAACCAAGGCAAAGATCCGCAAAATTAGCAGGGTAGCCCTAAACCCCAAAGCTAACCCAAACTGAGCTTGAAGTCTTCTCAATGCCTCGGTTACATGAAATGGAGCTCCAGTAAAGCACACAAGAACAGAATAACATCAATATAGCAAAGTCTGATTCAAGTACCTTTCTGTTGTTATTTGCTCTTTGGAAAACCCTGCACCTTGCAGCAGATAGTGGTTCAACCTCTGGCATTTCTTCTGCGGATACTTCTTCGGGTTTTATACTACTAGACGAGATCAGCCGTGTGCCAGCCCTCTTCTTATTTTGGAGAAGACTTTTGGCAGAAAATACCCCTGCAGGAGTCTGTATAATCAAGACTGTATCTGGGTTTGGAGCCCTGCAGCATTAATCATAACAGCATTTATCAGTAAAAAGATAATGAGGCATTGTCAACCTGTAGATAATCCCGATAAAGCTTTTAACTTTCATACCTGTGATATGCACAATAAGAAACCATCTTCGTCATTTGTTTTCCATTTTTCTCAGAGCAGTGCAACTGCAATTTAAGGTGCACACATGAAAAGTTCAGGAAATTATGGACAATGGATGTTGTGTATGTGTAATGCAAATATATCACATCCCTATATGTGCAAAAGGAACAAGTAACAAATGAAAATAACTCTCACCTCCATGCGATAACCAGCCCGTGAAGCACACATAGCATGGTAATAAGTTGAACATTTGCAGCATTGGGTGCATGACCCATGTATCTGCTTACAAATGACACAAATCTGAAATGCCCAAAAGCAAAGAAAGTTCAGATTATCATAAACAATTTTACAAATGCAAGTAAATTCAATACCATATATGGATCATATCTCAGACAAAAAAAAAAAAAAGTTAAATTACTGATACACAACACATGTTTCTAAGACTACATTCACAAAAGCTGAAGATCAAATGCTGGATTGAGTTGTACCTTCACAAAAGAATTTGAGGGAATACATAAAATCCCAAGAGCAGGCTCCATCTTTTCATCACTAGCAAAAGAAACTTCAGGTCGGAACCAAGCACATGTAACATGGACCCACAGTGTCTGGACATCGGTTGGCTTCAGAGCACCGCCTAGTAAATTCCACAAATCATGAATACCAAGAAAAATATCAGAGTTGAAAGTGAAAATGGAACAGTGCGATGCAGGCAGCACTAGGACATTTGCAAGCAAGAAAACCTAAAAAGTGACCTCTCTCAGTGCTGCTAATAAAACCAAGACAGGGAAAACGAATTCACGCCGACTACGAGCATGCTGTAGGTACCATGTTGCACAATGAACTTCAAATCCATAACCACACTGACCTTTGACAGGACAAAGGCAGCACTCCCGCTTAATTTCAGGAGTTTCACATGCTTTACAAACCCATGAAGTAAAATCCTGTACATGTCTTGCTCCATAACATTCCTGATGAACGGCTATCTGACATCTGGTATACATGC